CTTATACTCTATCAGATTCCTTCTCAGCCTCCCCTGCTCCAAAGGAAGCAACCTGAGCTTATCCAGCCTCTCTTCATTGCTAAAATGCTCCATCCCTGACAACATCCTGGTGAACTTCTTCTGCACCCCTCCTTTCAGTACTGTGGTAACCAGAACTGCACACAATACTCCAGCTGTGGCCTAACTAAAGTTTGGTACAGCTCCAACATAACCTCCCAGCTCTTATAATCTAGGCCTTGACTGATAAAAACAAGTGTCCCATTTGCCTTCTTAATTATCCTGCAAACCTGTCCAACCACCTTCGCAGATCTGTGGTCAAACACCTGAGATCCCTGTGTACCTCTGAGCATTCCAGTATCCTGCCATTCATTGACTACTTTCCAGTCTCGTTACTTCTTCCAAAGTGCATGACATCACATTTATCAGGATTAAATTCCATCAGTGACAGGTCTGTCCATCTGACCAATATGTTTATACCCTTGCATAACCTATGATCTTCCTTCTCACTGTCAACCACTTGGCAATCTTTGTGTCATCAACAAACTGACTGACTATTCTTCCCCACATTCTTATCTACATCATATATGAATATCACAAACAATAAGGGACCCAGCAATGATCCTTGTGTTATGCCACTGCACATTGGGTGGCAATCACACAAACAGCCTTCTACCACCGTCCTCTATTTCCTACCACTAAGCCAATTTTGGATCCAACTTGCCTGGTTACCCTGAACCCCATGAGTTTTAATCGTCTTTATTAGTTCCCTGTCTGGGACTTAGTCAAAGGTCTTATTGCAATCCATATAAATTACATCAACTGCCCTCCCTGTTACCCTGCTGCAAAATTAAACGTACGATCGACAAAGCCAGTTTTCACTCTGGAATCTAAACTGTAAAGCGTTGCCATCAGCTGGGATGATAACATGCTCATAAAATCAGGAAAAACTTATCTGATCATAATATGATTTTCTAAATAAACCATTAAGACTTCCCTAATAGTAGAATATTATTGCCCTGATGACTGATGTCAGACTGACTGACCTATTCTGCCTATGATGAAGACAAAAAATTGAAGTTTCTGGGGATCTGAATCAAAGCGCTGAAGAAACCCAGCAGGTCTGGCAGTAACTGTGGACAGAGAAACAGAGTTAAAGTTTTGGGTCCAATATGACTGTTCTTTGGAATGCTTTGTTTTCTTTTTCCTTCTTTACTTTAAGAGAGAAGTTACATTTGTTAACTTTAATCTGCTGGAACTAGTTCAGATGTAGGGACTTTTGGAAAGTTATAGGCAACATATTCATTATCTTTGCAGCAACTCTTCTAGAGCCCAAGGTTGTGGGTCATCAGGTCCTGGGGATTTGTATGTTTTTAGTACATTTAGACTTCTTCTGATTTTAATTACCTTACCCTCATTTGTTTTAACACTTTAGCAGCTATATAGGGTGCTGGTGAGGCCACGCCTAGAGGACTGTGTACAGTTTTGGTCTCCTTACTTGAGAAAGGATGTACTGGCATCGGAGGGGGTGCAGAGGAGGTTCACTAGGTTGATTCTATAAATTGAGAGGGTTGGCTTATGAGGAGAAATTGAGTATAGTGGGATTATACCCATTGGAATTTAGAAGAATAAGGCGGATTTTATAGAAATATATAAAATTATGAAGGGAATAGATAAGATTGAAGCAGGGAGGTTGTTTCCACTGGTAGGTGAAATTAGAACTAGGGGGAACAGCCTCAAAATAAGGGGGAGCAGATTTAGGATTGAGTTGAGGAGGAACGTCTTCACCCAAAGGGTTGTGAATCTGTGGAATTCCCTGCCCAGTAAAGCAGTTGAGGCTACCTCATTGATGGTTTTTAAGGCAAATTTGGATGGATTTTTGAACAGTAAAAGAATTGAGGGTTATGTTGAGCAGGCAGTTAAGTGGAACTGAGTCCACAAAAAGATCAACCATGATCTAGTGAATGGCGGAGCAAGCTTGAGGGGTCAGATGGCCTACTCCTGCTCCTAGTTCTTATGTTCTCATGTTATCACCCATTTTTAGTATGCAATTTGCATTCTCCACTGTGAAAGCAAGTACAAAATATTCGTTCAAGGACTCTCCCATTTTCTCATGCCCTATAATACTATAATGGCCTCATCTTCTGTAGTATTTATTATAGCTACTCTCCTTTTATAGAAAGCTCTTACAATACCATTTCCATATTCACCATGTCAAGACCATTCAGGACCTTATATACTTCAGTCATGTCACCTTCATACTCCGAAATTCCAGTGTAAACAGTCGCAGCTTGTCTAACCTTTCCCTATGAGATACACCGTGCATTAGTTATCAGTCTAATCCACTGAAGTACTTCCAACACATTTACATCCTTAACTGAGGAGACCAAAACTACACGTAGTATTCGAGATGTGTTCACACTAATGCCCCATATAACTGAGGTATAGCATCTTTATTTTTATGTTTCACTCCTTTCATAAGAAAGGATAGCATTCCATTAGCCTTCTGTATCTGTGCACCAACTTTTTGTGTGACTCAAACAAGAACTCTGTACCTCAGAATTCCATAGAACAGAATAGAATATCCTTTATTGTCACATGTACTCCAATACAGAATACAGGAGCAGAGTGAAAAGTTTTTACAATGGCTGCCTCTAATGGTGCCACCTTAGATACGAGTACCTAGATACAAATCTTGGAAACAAAAGAGGAATAAAAGGTAAAGTAGTATCATTACTTACAGTGTCTTAAAAAAAATTAGAAATAAGAAAGTTATAACATAGATAAAGGACTGACATTTTAGTCTGGTTAAGAATTTCAAATAACAGCAGCTCAGCACATGGTCTGACCGCCTGGCCAGGCCCCAGTCCAACAACTGTCCCGTTCCACTCAAAGCCTCCAGTCTGCTCCGCACCAGCACTCAGCTGCACTAAGGTAAGTTGCACAGCTCCGGGGCTGCTAAGAAGAGAGAAAAAAAGGAAAGGGAACAAGAAGAACTGGTGGAGCAGAGGAGCTCCATTTGGAGCATCCTACTCTGCCGCCATCTGGCCAAAAGTCGATTCTGTAGCAATTCTCTGTTTAAGAAATACTCGACTTTTAATTCTTCCTGCCAGAAGCGAATACTTTCACATTTCCTCACATCCACCTAACAAATTTTTGCCCTCCTCATTCAACCTACAACTTTTTGTTTGCCCTTTGCTTGCTCCTCAGACTTGCTACTGTTCACAACATTATAACCTTCTTGTAATTCAATACTATAATGCTCTGAATAAGATCATGATAAACAGGAACTCAGCAAGAAAAGTCAATGGAATGAAAACACTACACGGTTTACAATCTCACCATTGCGCCCACTGTTGGAAATGATTCCTTACTTGTACACACTATCTCCCTTGCAATAGAAGCCATCATTCTGTTTAACTTCGTAACTATTTGCTGTGCCTTCATACTGATAGCAAATCATGTATAAAACTACCCTGGTCTCTTTGCATTATAGTGTTTATCAGTCTTTCTTTGTTAAATTCATATTCTGCTCTTCCATTTCTCCTGCCAAAGTAAACAACTTCATATTTTCCCACATTACATTCTACTGCCACAATTTTGCCCACTCCCCGAGCCGCTCCCTATTTCTTTGCACGCTATTTATACGCTCATCATAACTTTTTTTTGAATCTATCTTTGTATGGTCAGCAAAATTCACGACAATACTCTCAGTCCCTCTGTCTAAGTCATACAGTAGATCATAAACAGTTGAGGCACCAACTTTGACCAGTTTGGCCACTGTAGCCAGAGGGGAGCCAATCTGAAAATAAACCATTTCCATCCATGCTAATACATCACCCCAAAGCTAGTGCTTCCCAAACTTTTTCCCATTACGTGCCTGTCCTGAGACATGAACACTGTCACGATTTCTGAGGCGTGTGACATAGTAGTTGTGGTGAGAAGGGTTATGGTGCTGCTGAGCTATGAGAGTGGAAGGCTGTTGGGAGAGGGAGCACAGTTTTTAGAATTCTGTCTGAGCTCCACACTGACCATTGCTGCCTCAGAGGTCATCACCCCAACAGCTCTTGACCCCCACTTTGTGAGGAAATCCCCAGCCAACACCATACATTGTGAGCCTGACAGGAAATATTCTATAGGCACTTCGGCCAATTTAATCAGGAAACACATTTACCCAGGCGTTCTTACTGTATGAGACAAACAAAAGAACTGCAGTTTTATTAAAACATTCGCAAGTTTAAAAAAAAACTCTTGCATAAATTAAGTTAACTTTTCCCAAACTAGTCTGGCTGACTGCCTGAAAAACACATATGCTACCGGTTCTGGTGAACTTAATTGGGCTGATGGATCCAACTCACTGTGCTGTCGACACAGCACTCAGCGTCTTCTTGGTACAAAGGTGGGTCTCCTTGGAGTCTTCACCAGCTGACTCTTCACTGAGGGAAAGGCCAACAACTGTCCCTTCTTATCCCCCCTTTCTGAGCCCAATCGCATGTTCTCTGACTTCAGTCAATGGAGTCACAGGGCAAGGGTCACAGCCAGATTTACTCATCCTTTCTCAAGAAATGATTACTCTGCGGTGCCAAGGGATATCTCTCTCTATTGTTAAGGGTCTGTTCAAATGCAGGACAGACCTAGGCTGGTCCTTGGTTGCTTTAGACCTGTAGTAACCTTGGGCTCTTTGCATTCCATCAGGCCTTACTTGTTTAAGCCGATTTTATGTTGGACCCAGTTGCTTAGGATATTGGCCACAACAGTTGCATAGCTTCACGGCCACTGTCCTGTGTAAAAGGGCAATCAGTAACGTGAAATAGGCTCAGGGTTCCCACCTTGAGGTTCTGCACTGGTCTTGCACGTTCAGGGCGGCTGCAGCGCTCAGACCCTCCTCTAGAGGGAGGCAGGAGGCTCATTCGGCAAGGTTACATTTCCCGTCCAATCAGAGAGCAGGAAGGGGAACACCGCAAACCGGCGCGCTATTTAAACTGGAGCATGGTCCCTTTAAATCTTGGGCTGGGGGAATAGTTAGGTGTGTCTGGAGTGCTTCTTAAATTAGGCTAATACAGGTTTGGTAACCATAAATCTCCAGAGTCAAAAGGTAATGTTTGTAGAGAATGAGAGAAATTCAGAGGGCATCGTTATTGTAATAATATTGATACATTAAAAAGTGGGAAGTCCCGAAATTATGGAAAGACTTACCACATTCGGCTCGTTTAATCGTTGTTTTAAAAACTTGTTAATTGCATTGGGGAAGCTGCCGTGTTAATTCAATAAGGCTCTGTCGACGTGTAGAAGTCCCTTATCTCTTACACTCACTTCATTTTACAGTCCAGCACTTAAACAAATGTTACTTACAGCGATGAGGGCTTGTACGTAATTGTAAGGGCGGGGGACCCAAACCAGCTCTAGTCTGGAGAAGTATGTTTATTTTCACTATCTAATTTTTAAAAGTAATCTGTCTATTATGCAGGTGAACTCAATTCTGCTGAGCCAGGATTAAATCTTGGGCTGCCTCTGTATATCTAAAGGTTTAAATCCTCCACCCCATTGAGTTCACCTATTGGGTGTTGATTGTCTGATTTAGGAGTTTATCCAACAATTAAATAGTAGCCCTTCCAAAATGTCCAGAATCAGAACAGCTAGTCTGGAGAAACCAGAAAATGCTGATTGGCTTGATGTTTGGGAGACTTAATTTGGGAGCTGAACACAAGACTAGAACTTTACCTGCATAACTGTTTGTATTTAAGTGGAAGGCTGCCAATTAGTAGAGGGAATTAAAACTGAAGGCTGAAAGTGCTTAAAGGTTAGATAGAAGCTTATGGTGAGAGTTTAATAGTCCACGATGACTATTGTTGGAGGCAGTCTCGAATGCTCTCCTGGGTATGGAATGATCCTCTTGAAAGTTGAGTAGGTTGGGTCAATAATCATTAGAGATCTTCTTTCAAAATAAACTGAAATGGCCTTATTAAAACTCTTGGGGTGCTTGATAGGGTAGATGTGAAGAGGTTGGGATAGAGTTCAGAGATTGGTTCTAGACTCTTGTCCCACAAGGGATAGCAGACTTCATTTAAGAGTAAGCAATTGTCCATTTAAGAATGTGAATTTATTCTCAGAGTAGTGAATCTGTGGAGTTTCTTGCTGTAGAGGCTGTCAAGCCTGGATACAAAGCAGAGATAAACACACATTTTTGATCAGTAAGAGAATTGAGGGTTCGGTTAGGGCAAGCAGGAAAGTGGAGCTATCCAGCCATGATCTAATTGAATGGTGGAGTGGACTTAATGGGCCAAATGGCCTACTTCTGCTTGTATATCTAATGGTCTCACTGGGGAGGCCTCTTGTGGTGCAGTGGTAGTGTTTCCACCCTTGGACCAGGGGGCTCAAGTCCCACCTGCTCTAGAGGTGTGTAATAACATCTCTGAACAAGTTTATTAGAAAAATACGTTGAACTATAAAACGGTCTTGCTGGAAGAGATGGGAATGAATAGTTTTAATCAGCTACAAAGCCAGAGGTAAAGGAGTCATGGCAGTTTTATAACTGTTGGGGGCAGGAATGTTTGCATAATAAAAGGGTTGCAAGGTGATCTGAAACAATTGGAACAAAGCTGGGTTCAGAGGAGTTGAAAATGAAAAATACTTCAATGTAATTGTTGTTTCAGATGAATTATTAAATTTGGGGACAAAGAGCTGGGAGTTTGCCCAATTGCGCTGGCTAATATTTATCTCCTGATTGACTCCACACAAAAGCAACTTAAGTTGAGGAGCTTCCTGTGAGCGAATTTGCTGCTGCATTTACTATGTTGAGACAGTGACTGCACTTCAAAAGTGTCTCTCTGACTATTTAAATGTGAGTATTTTCACTTTTTGTTTTTAATTCAAATTTTATTCCTACACTACGACAGTGACTACACTTGAATACTTTCTTTGGCTATGATGTGCTTGAATATCCCATGGTTGTGAAGTGTGCTATATGAATTCAAGCCTAACTTTTGTCGTCATCTTGCATTTGTTGACATTCAGTAGCATTTGCTACTCATTAGTTCAAACCCCTAATCAAACTCATTGACTAGCTGTGGATCTGCTTATTTGCGATGCAGCCCCTGGCTCTAATTGCTCATACTGGAGGCTTCCTTCTACTATGACCTCTGTAGTCTATCAGCTTTGCTATTTGATGAAGAAAGTGAGTCTGGAGTTGTAAAGAATTTGCAATTTGTGGTAGCTCTCCATAGCTGTGTTCTCCTTTTCACTTTCTTCCCCACCATTTTTCCAAATTTGTGTAGTACCTTTTGACAATCTCTGAAACCTCCAACATTTTACAGCTTACAAGGACTCCATAGGACAGTGACCAATAGCCTATAGTATGAAATGCAGCAGCTTGCTAGCATGCAATCTCCCACACAGACAGCAAAGTGACTGTGAACAGATAATCTATTCTTCATGATGGTTGAAAAATATTGACCAGAAAATGAGAGGAAGCCTCCCCTGCTTTTCAAAAATAGTGCCATGGGATTATTTGCATCCACTCTGCAGACTTTTGCCTTAACGTTTGTGCAGTACAGTCTTTGGTTGAAGCATCAGCCTGCATTTTGCAGTCCATTCTCTGGTGTGGGTGTTACATCCACCACTTTCTGATTGTGTTACCACTCCGTCACAGCTGACATCTGCACCCTCGAACCCCCAGATTCAAGTGTGCAACTCTATTATTGAGTAAGCATTGATGTTTCTTTGTGTGTTTATATACACATATATAAAATATATATTAAGGTTAGAAATAGTCTTGTATTTTGTTCTTTCCAGATACTTCAGTGTTCCAGGCTGAGATATTCACAGTAATCTTCAAGCAAGACCATGTGCAGTAAACGCCACAATCCAGTGGAGAGCATTTGCAAAAAACTCCAGACCATTCAGAAGAGGGATCAGATGTCCAACCCTGTGCTGCAAATTCCGAAATTTCGCTCCCGAAACTTTGACAGCCCTCAGATCAGCGTCAAGAAGAACATGGAGGTGATTCTGAGGAATAGAACAGTGGAGAATCATATGGTGGAGCAGGGAGTTAACATCGCTGTTGCAAATTGTGCGCCGTCACCCGAAATCTCAACAGGCCAACCAGGAAAGCCTCCCACCGTCAGTTCTACTTACACAGTGGTCAGCTCCATTGGAGGGATGTTCTCCAAACCACTGCATTGCTGCGGAGCTCAGAGCTGCTCCACTCCACTTAGTGAGTGTGAGAGAAACATTACCAACTTGAGTCAACCCCATTCAGCCATTATTAACATTGAGCATCGTATAGTGGCCAGCGATGACTGTAGCCCAGTGAACTCCTCCAAATTTAATTTCTACACCCGCTTGCACAAAACACAGTCACCTGTAGCAAAGAAACTATCCTTAGATGAGACAAGTGGTAAGTTGGGGAAGTTATCACATTTATTGCCTTAAGTAAATCTGTTTACTGACTGGATTTTGTCTCCATGATTTAGACTGGATTTTAAAATGCTAATTATTATTGTAGAACCTAGTTTATGTTGAAGGGGACACTTGCATATAAGCAAGTGTGTTTCACAATATCATATGTCCTTTTTACAGAATTCAATTTCACAACTTCACATGGTTGGACATGAACACTCAACTAATTAGGGAGCACTGTGTCTGTTACTCACTAAATATGTTGGAGTGTTTTATCTTTGCCTTACTAATTATTTTAGTGGCCCTCTACAGTTAAATAGAGCTATAGTTTAAATTTGCTGAAATTGTGGGACATATTTATCCACTACTGCATGATTACTGTCTGAAATTCAGGTATGTTTATGGGAAAGATTTCATTAATTTGAGCACTTCAGTAAAGAGCCGACTTACTCAGTATAACTGAAGCTGTTATTCTATTGGATGAGTAATTACACTGAATTGATCACACTGTTTTAACATTTCCAAATAAACCAACAGAAAATGTTGCCATTTAGCAAAATATATACAAGAATGCGCACGAACAGGATGTGGTAAACTAGGAAGGTTAAACGAGCTTTGCATGTGAAGGTAACATTGTGAGTTCTGTTCAACCTTTCACATTCTTTTCTAAAGTAAACGAGCCTGCAGTGGTAAACAGAATGGAAAATGTCGAAGATATGAGTTTGATCTGCGAGGAAGATTTGCTGGATACTATTTTTTATGCCTGCGACACAAAGCACAGAGGTAACACATTACTGTTCTGTAGCACTTTGCTGTTACCATCTATTCATTAAAATTGGAGTCATACAATAAGATAGATTAAGGATTGGTCAACAGACAGCAAACAAAATAGGAACAAAAAGAACATGTTTGGTTTCATAGCCAATAACTAGAAAGCTCTGCAAGAGTCAGGACTTTGGCCTCAATTGCTTACAATCTAAATTAATCGCTGCTTTGAAGGTACAGCGTGTAACATAGAACTTTGCTCTTGATAACCAAGTTGGGTAAAATAAAAATAGACTGCAGAAGGAAGTAGGTGGCTTGGGTGAGTGGGCAAGAACTTCACAGGTGGAATTCAATGCGATAAATTGTGAAGTTACCCACTTTTTGAGAAAATAGAATTTTGTTTTTGAATGGTGAGGGATGGAAGTGTTTGCATTCGGAGGGATCTGGGTGTTCTTGTACAAGAATCGGAGCAAGTTAACATTGATACAGCAAACACTAAGTCAAACAGTATGCTAGCTCTCAACACAAAGGGATTAGAGCGTAAGACAAAAGAAACTTTACTGCAATTATGTTGGGAAGAGAAGCAGGATGTATAGTTTTAGTTTACTTGTGTAAAGACAGAAATAGCCCTTAATCTGATACAACAGAAGGTTCACTAGACTGGTTCCTGGGACAAAACAAGATTAAGTAGACTAGGTTAAAAGTGTGGATCTGGAGGAACCCAGCAGGTCAGGCAGCATCAGAAGAACAGGAAAGCTGACATTTCGGGTCAGGACCCTTCTTCAGAAATGGGGAGGGGGAGGGGAGCTCCGAAATAAATGGAGAGGAGAGGGGTGGGGCTGGGGAAGGTAGGTGGCATGGTGGTAGGTGAGTGCAAGTAGGGAGTGGTCAGGATTGGTCAGTGAAGTGGGAGTGGCGGATATATGGGAGAGAAGATGGACAGGTTGTCATGTCAAGGAGGCGGGGATGAGAGGGAGGATTGGACATGGGATGCAAGGAGTTTCAGGGCCGAAGAGATTACCAGAGGGTTGCAGTGGGAGAGAGATCCACTGAGGTCTTTCCGGAGGGAGGAGGATAACTTCTTCAAGGTGGGCATCCTTGGAAGAGGCTTCGCAGTGGGGTTATAAATCACTGAGATAGCATGAACTACAAATACTGGACTTGTCAGAGATAAGTGTGGAGCTGGAGGAACACAGCAGGCCAGGCAGTTAGTTCTTGCTATCTCTTAAATAGGCTAGGCCTATGTTGCCTTGGTTTTGGATGAATGAGAGGTGGTCTAATTGAAACATAACATTCCTAAAGTTTCTCAGTATCTAACACTGAGAAAATGTTTCCACTGGCTGGGAAGTTGGGAACACAGTCTCAGAATAAAGGGGTCAGCCATTTGAAGCAAATGTATCAATGAGTGGGGAAGAGGAAAACCTAAAGCCATCAATAGAACATAGTCATCAAGCTGAGAACTCGGGAGAAACATCTCTCCAAAAAGTTGAGAATTGATATCACAAGCAGTTGAAATGAATGGTGTTGATCCATTTTAAGGAGAATCCAGATAAGCATATATGGGAGAAGATAAAACTGTGTTTTAGATGAGAAGGATTGGAACAGACTTGTGCCAAGTAGGTCAGTATGAGGTTGTTGGGCTGAATGGCCTGTTTGCACTGTATATTCTATGGGATTTGAGATTTAATGAGTGGTAGTGGTTACCAAAATTTTGCACCACTTGGATTTTCCTCCTCTCTAGTCAGGGTCTACAGTAGACTCAAGGAACACTTTCTCTCTAATTCTATCAGACAGGTGGCTAGAATGGCAGATATTATAGTCTATACACTTGTTTTGTTGTTTTAATCTACTTTTCTAATCAACCTGTTCAAAAATGTTATTACCTACACTTGAAGTAGGTGGGACTTGAACCTGGGCCTCTTGGTTCAGGGGTAGGGACACTTCCACTGTGTGATGTGAGGATGCACTCTTGTTTCCTGAGTGAATAAGGCAGTTTTCAGAACAAGTGACAGTTCTCCTATTCTGTCAGGAGAGGACAGTGTCCTCCATTAGACAATCATGACTCTTGTATTATTTAACAGGTTTTCCCATGGATAGTGAGTAAGGAGATTACATTAGTTGTAGCATTGGCTGTGGAAGTGACAAATTGGGGGAGCATTGAATTCTGTTTCTCTCCTGAGGGCAGAGAAAGCCGAGAGATTTGATCCTGATGTTTAAAATTAATGTTTAGATAAAGTGAATGGAGAAACTGCTTCTGCTGTTTTGAATGGTTGATGGAGTAGATTTAGACATAAGTCTAGTAAGTGCACTCAGTGAGTGTTAATGTATTGAGTGGTTAGTGTTTCTGACGACATGAAATAGAGCTATGTGATCTATTTGTTTTGGATTCCATATTCCCATCCACTCCTGATAATGTTTGACTCCCTTGTCTGGATGACTCTTCATCTAGACTTGAAATGTTAGCTTGCTCTCTCGCCATGGACGCTGTCTGACCTGCTGTGATGGCAGCATTTTTACTGCTTTCGGTACAGATTCCAGCATCTGCAGTAATTTACTCAGTGTTCATCAGCCATTACTTTAAAAATATTCAATGTCTCTGCTTCCTTCAATTGCTGGAAGTTTGTGTTTCTGCAAGGGAATTTTCCTCATCTGTCCTGAAAGGATGACCTAACTTTAAAACACTACCTGTAGTTCTGGACAGAGCCACAAGATGAAGTATCCTTTCCACATCCACCTTGTCAGATCTTGTATGCTTTAATCAAGTCATAAACATAAACCTAGAACAATACAGGAACAGGACCTCTAACCCATGTTTGTCCTGACCATGGTGCCACTCTAAACTAATTCTATCTGTCTGCACATGGTCCATATCCTGTTATGTCCTACCTACTCATGTGTTTGTCCAAATGCCTCTTAAATGTTGCTATCTTATCTACTCCTACTGCCTCCCCTGGCAACACATTCCAAGCACCTACCTCTTTTCTAAAAAAACTTGCCTCGCACATCATCTTCTTTAAAGTTTACCCCCTCACCTTAAACTTATACCACCTAGATTGGACATTTTCACACTGGAAAAGAGATTCAGACTAAGCACCCTATCCATGCCCCTCATAATCTTGTATACTTCTACCAGGTTGCCCCCACAGCCTCCAGTGCTCTAATGAAAACAGTCCAAGTTTGTCCAACCTCCCCTTATAGCCAATGCACTCCAATCCAGGCAACATTCTGGTAAACCTCCTTTGCAGCCTCTCCAATCACCTTCCGAAAATGTGGTGACCAGAACGGCACACCATACTCCAAAGGTGGCCTCACTAAAGGAAATCCCTTACTCTTCTAAATTCCAGTGGAAACAAGCCCAGTCTGTCCAATCTTTCCACATTAGACAACCAGCTCTTCCAAGTATGAATCTAATAAACCTCCTCTGAGCCATGACCAATGACATTACATCCTTCCTTAAATAAGGAGACCAAAACTATACACACCACACCATGTGGTGTCATCAATGCCTTGTATAACTGAAGTGTAACACCTTTATTTTAATGTTCTATTCCTCCCAGTACAGGGTAGCATCCCATTAGCTGCCTTGCTGTACCCACATACTAACTTTCAGTAACTTGTGCGCTGGAACATTTAGATCCTGCTGCAGCTTGGAATACTGCATTTGTTTTCTAAATAATACTATGCCTTTTTTATTCTTCCTGATGAAGTGAAGAGCCCTGCATTTTCCCACATTACACTCCAGATTTTAGCCCAGTAACTTAAGGACTTTGCAGACAGCTATAACTTTATGTTGTCCTCATAACAAACTTGGTGACAACACAAAGATAGGAAAATATAACTACCATGGTTTTCCTCCCCACATTTAAGTCATAACTTAAATTTTGAAAAGCTGAGGCCCCAGCACAGACCTGGGAGTGACTTCACTTGTCACATCCTGCCAATCAGACAAAGACCTATTTCTATTTTCTTCCAGTTAGCCAATCTGCATTCTGAAATATCTTGTTAAATGTCTACCATTCTATTGATCTATCCTCTAGCCTAGTATGCTCGTTCACTTCAGCTGACTGGGTTTAGAAGCCTACGTGGTTGCCCTTATCTTAAGTTTAAGATACTAGTCTTGAGCCCAATCTACTCCCTTTCAAACTGGATGTAAAGTTTAATTATATTATGGTCACTGCTACGTAGGGTGCCATTAGTCTGAAGTCATTAATTAATCCTGTCACGTTATATAATACAAAGTCTAATTTAACCTGCTGTCTGGTTACAAAACATGCTGCTCTGGGAAACTATTGTAAAAGCATTCTGAATATGTAGTGTGGCAGGACCATTCAATAACAGCCCTCAAGGGAACGGAATGAATACTTGGAAGAAAGGTTGTAGGCAATATGGGGAAGGAGAAAGGAAGTGAGACTAACCGTGTTGCTCATCAAAAGAGCTAGCATAGGCATGATAGGCCAAGTAGCCTTCTCCCTTCTTGTACTGTTCTGATTTTAATTACCAAAGGGAGAATGGTTGGCATTGCTGCTGTTACCACCTCTAGTTCACCCCATGGGGAAAGAAAATATCCTGGCTGTTGACTTTTTCCCCCACCTCCCCTGTCCAGTAGGATCAGTGTGAGCCTGTAAGATCCCAGCAAAGTGAATAAATGATCCACATAACCAAAGGGTTTAAACTGATTACTTTCTGCAGGAAAAGTGCCTGTTTCTATGATTGTGGACTACCTGCGACACACCACAAGCCGTAGTTCTGAGGACAGTGGCCTTGAGGATTTGTGTAACATGCTGGACCCAGATAATAAGGATGTGTCCATTGATCTGGGCACCTATCGTGCAGTCATGAAAGAATGGATTGAAGACTGTAGGAGGAAAAGGTAAGGAGCAGAGGGACTATATGTACAGTTTGTATGACAGCACCTGTGTCTGTGCTCAGCCCAAGTGATGGAATGTACTAAAATCAAACACTCAGTTAGCTGTAAACGCAAATAATAGGGAGGTTAAATGAAAGCAAAGGACCATGGAAGCTACTAGATTGTTGCCTCTGAAATAAGAACCAAATGGTTAGCTAATTTTCAGGGAAAGGGAATCTAGCACCTCTATGCAGTCTAGCCTGTAAGTGACTCCAGTTCTACCCTACGTGGTTATTTTTTGCTACCAAAGGGCACCAACTCATGCCATTGAGCAACTGATTAGCAAAGGGGAAAGTTGTCCATCAAAACCTTTTACTGGGGCAAAAAGGTGGACAATAATTGTGGTTTCTCCAGTGTTACTCCATAATTTACTGTTCTGCATCCAGATCGTTTGAATTTGGATTCTGATTTTGTTTTCTCCTTTTCACTTCCTTGCTGCTCTATTGGGATGGTTTACGATGGTAAAAACTGTAACATGAGAATTAGTTTGCTCAAGAGAGCAGTTGAATGTGCCGATTGACATTTACCTCTTGTATTGGTTGTGGTGCTGCTTCACACTTCAGGACACTTCTTCTATATTCAAACAGAAATGACTTTATCAATAAGCAAATGTGCATATGCTAGTACTTTGTATTCCCTCCTCTATACTGTGGTGACATTTATTAGGATTGCTTGCTTTTTTTTTTGTATAACCTCGCTGACCAACTCAAGACTGAAAGTGATTCCAAGCAATGGTTGTTTGCCAAGTGACAGGATGTTCTCTAGTTTGTGAATATTGGATATTTTCATGATCTTGGTTGCATTGGGAAAGTCGAAGGTTAAATCATCCTGTATATTCTCCTCCTGTATTTTTCTTGGGTTGCAGGGCCTTGTAATAGGCTGATGTAATGTAGCATAGAAAGTCCAGAATGTTGGGGAGGTAGAAGAATTATCTAATCTTAAAATAAGATTCCAACCATTATAATTAATTCTGCTTCAGCTTTTGTACATTTCATTGATTAAATATGTTTCTGCTGTCAGCCATATTAAACGGACTTTAAGAACATACTACAGGCCATTCAACCCATCGAGTCTGTTCTGTTGTTCAATGAGATCATAGTTGATCTGATAATCCTCAACTCTGCTTTCCTGCATTTTCCTCATAACTCTTGATTCCCTTACTGATTAAAAAAATTCTCTCTGCTTTCAATATGCCTAACAACCCAGCCTCCGCAGTCATCTATGGTAAGGAATTCCACAGATTCACTACCCTCAGGGGGAAAAAAAAAACTCCTTAATCTGTTTTAAATGGGAGACCTATTGCTGTGAGATTATGCTGTCTGGTCCTAGACACACTCCAGTACAGACCATTTCTCTGCATCTATGTCCCTAAGAATCTTAACTTTCAGTCAGGTCCTCTTGCTCATCCAAATTCCAATGAGTACAGGCCCAATCTACACAACCTCTCCTCAAAGACTGTCCCTCTGTTCCTGGTATCAACCGATTTAATCTCTTTTGGATTGCCTCCAATCCCTTTTTCCATAAAAGGGACCAAACCAGTCGTATTCTTTTGGTGGAATGACTCGTGTCTTGCATGCTTTTAACAAGGCCTGACCTGTCCTTTTTTTTAAAAAAAAAAAAAAAAAAAAAATCTCCATTTCCTTTTAAATAAGGGCCAATGAATGACTTCCCAATTACCCACTGAACTCTGATGCAAGTTTTTTGAGAATGCCCTGACGACTCCCAAATCCACCTGTACTGTGGCTTTCTGAAGTCTTTCTCCAGTTAACTAACATTCAACTCCTTTAGCCTTCCTGCCAAAGTGCAAAATCTCTCAATTTTCCACATTTATATTTCATCTGCGTTTTCACCTACTCATTTAACATGCCATTATCCTGCTGCAGACTTTGTCATCCTTATCACTTGCCCTTCCACCTATTTGAGTCACTTGCAAAATTGGCATTAGTATGTTTATTTCCATCATCTGTCATGACTAATTGGTTAGCCAATCCCCTCTTCCACCACCTATCCCTCCCTCCCCCAAACTTCTGGTGAGAACTGCTCACCAATTCTTCAATGTAAAATCTTGATCAAAACCTAACTGATTAGGCCTAAATGTGTTCATAATGCTGCAGAAAAGCATATCTGTACGGTTGATTTCCGGGCATAGCGACTTAAGATGTGTGTAAGAGGAATGTTTGCTAACACAAACTCCCCATTGTGACAGTGCTCTTGTAACACCCATTCATGCACAGATGTGCTTGTGACAAGACAACCTGAAATTAGTCCCTAATGAAGCTTAAGAATTGTTCTGTGATCCTGATTCCTTTCTAACCTTGTTCCAAGGAATGTGGAGTGTACATATTTTCCAATACAATGCCATCTCAATGCTCTGCTTGAAGTTCAAGTGTGAATTTTTCATCTGTAGTATTGCAGGGTACCTAACAAACCATATTTTTTCGTAAGGTGCTATACTTATTTCCTAGAATGTATTTTACTACGCTATAGGCTGTAAGAAAATCTCAAGTTTACATGAGTATTACTGATTTAATACCAGCATGCGTATTATTTTTAACTTTAAGGGTGGCACGGTGGCTCAGTGGTTAGCACTGCTGCCTCACAGCCCCAGGGACCCAGCTTCAATTCCACCCTTGGGTGACTGTCTGTCTGTTTGCACAATCTTCCTGTGTCTGCATGGGTTTCCTACGGGTGCTCCGGTTTCCTCCCACAGTCCAACGATGTGCAGGTTAGGGGCATTGGCCATGCTAAGTCACCCTGTCGTGTCCAGGAATGTGTAAGTTAGGTGGATGGTAAATGCAGGGTCACAGCGGTAGGGTTGAGGGAGATGGGTCTGGCTGGGAAACTCTTTGAAGGGTCAGTGTGGACCTGATGGGCAGAAAGGCCAGCCTCCACACTTCAGGGATTCTATAAAAAGTTAAAGGGGTTGTTGCTGTAACCAAATTTCCATATTCAATGTCTTTAGTTTCCATGAAGACACTCAAGAAGTTGTAAATGTTAATGAAGATGTTGTCCAACATCGCGATGGACTTGTATCAGGTAACATCATTCACATCCAATCTGTTTGCGATTTGTCACCTTTGCTTCTCTGCTTATTCACCCAGAGTCAAATTTGAGACGTTGCTTTTGTTTTGCAGTAGTGTAAGTCTGTTACCGAAAACAGTGTTAGCTCATTCAAATCTTTGCCATTTCTAACAGGAATCAAATTTTCTGATGCAACTGATGGAACAGTGGGAAGCTTGGAGGCACTTGGTGGGGAAATTTCGAAAGGAGACTTGTAAGCAATATCTAAGTCAATCACAATGTGGGCAAAGTGCAGTTTCAGTATGATTGTTAAAATTCATTTAGCACACAATGAGCACTTCCTGCAAGTATCTCAGTTGTGTCCTGCCACACTGTGCTCATTGTACATTCTCTCAGCATGTGTTTTGCGAAGAGGGCCCTCTCTGTCTTTGCTTTCTCCAAACTAGTTGGTTTTTTTTTAAATAACTCTTAGAATGGTGAAAGTCAACCACATTGATGCACATGAGAGATGCTTGGGAGCAGTAGGAAGTGTTTTAATGACAAACAGCAGCTTATCCCAAAGCAGAATTACTGCAGATTTCCAGCCATCTGCAGTATGCCCAGAAAAAGCTGTGAATACTCTGGTCTGATAGCACCGGGGCGGAGAGAGAAAATTAATGTTTTAAGTCTTTGACTTTACATCAATATTTCCAGATTTTCTCTTCTAGATTTGGGCCAACATAAACCAATTGGACTTTGTCTACTTGCAATGATATGCAAATTTGTTTTTGCCCAATGGAAATTGTTGCATTTAATAGGGGATTTATTAGCACTTCAGTGCAGCCATTGTTTTGTAGCTCAAGATGGCCTCTAGGTTGCATGTAGCAGTGTCAACCAAAGTTGAGTAAATGAGAAACATCTTCCCTCTTAGCTCCCCTACTGTTAATGTGTTCATTAAATTTGGCATCAATCCTCTTTATTCTAAAGAGAACTCAATTTTTGTAGGAATATCCTGTGAAAGAAGCCTCTTCCATGAATTGGATGGAAGGCTTTAGGATACACCTCACAAGGACACTACTTTTTATTTATGTTGGCTCAGTTTTGGGTCTAGTGACTGTGGTTATGTAGAGATTGGAAATGTGAAAACTTCATACACTTGTCTGTCCCTTTTGGTCCGGTGTTGTTGTATCATATGGGGGTGTGGGGCTGCAGATTGCTGGAAATGAAAGGGAAGCCTTCCATTTATTTATGTTGTGTGGCATTACCACTGATAAATGAGGTTGTCTTCAAACTAACAGCTCAATTCTGAGCATCCATAACGCACAATGGGCCATCAGCGGCAGCTGAATTGATTCAAACACATCTGCGCCTCGGCCTGGTGTATCCACCACTGTATAATTACCATGAAGTCAGGAGCATGGTTCAGTGAAGAGTAGAGGAGCAGCCCCAAGCGTATCTCAAAATGAGGTGTTCACCTGCTGAAGCGTCAACACAGGACTACTTGTGTGACAAGCTGAAACAAGTGATAGAGCTAAGCAATCCTGTAGCAAACAGATTGGATCTAAGCTCTGCAGTCTTGCCACTCCCAGTCATAAATGGTGATGGATAATTAAACAACTCACTAGAGGAGGAGGCTCCATAAATATCCCCTTCCTCAATCATGGGGGAGCCCAGCACATCAGTACAAAATATAAGGCTGAAGCTGTCACAATAATTTTCAGTCAGAAATGCCAAGTGGGTGATCCATCTTGGCTTCTTCCAGAGGTCCCAGCATCATAAATGCCAAACTTCAGTCAAGTCGATTTGCTCCCTGTGACATAAAGGAAGCGCTGGATATCGCACAGGATAATGACCCTGGCAATGTTTCCACAATAGTACTAAAGGCTTGTGCTCCAGAACTTGCTACTTCCCTAGCCAATACTGTGTTTCAATACAGTTACAATACTGGCATCCATCAATGTGGAAAATTGTGTATAGATATGTCCTGTAGACAAAGCATGACACGTCCAACCCAGCCAATTAACTCCTTCAGTCAAGATATTTTTAATCAACCTGGTCAGAAATATTCTGACACAATCTGGAGCAGTTGAGTCTTGAACTCATACTTTCTGGTCCAGAGGTAGGGACGTTACCACTGTATCATAAGAGCCTCCCAAACACAGTCTCATCAGTAAAGTGATGGAAAGTGTGATCAGCAGTGCTATCAAGTAGCACCTAATCACTGATGCCCTGTTTGGGTTCCACCATGGCCACTCAGCCCCTGACCTCATTACAGCCACGTTACTGGAAAACACTCTGCTACTTGGACTCATACCTGACATATGGGAATGTGACGGTGGTTGTCGAAGCTCTCGCATCTCAGCTCCAAGACATTGCTGCAGGAGTTCCTCAGGGTACTGTTCTTCAGCTGCTTCATCCATGACCTTCCCTCCACTATAACATCAGAAGTGAGGCCGATGATTGAACAGTGTTCAGCACCATTCGCAATGTCTCGGATACAAATACAATCCATGTTCAAATGCAGCAAGATCTGGGTAATATCCAGGCTTGGGCTGATAAGTGGCAAGTAACATGCTGGGCAATGACCATCTCCAATAAAAGAATCTCACCATCACCCACTGACATTCAATAACCATTATTGTCCACTATCATAGTCCTGGGGGTTCCAGTGACCAGAAACTCAATGGGACCAGCCATATAAATAGTGGCTAGAAGGTCAGATCAGAGGCTAGGAATAATGCAACAACTTCCTGGCTCCTCAAAGCCTGTCCACCATCTACAAGGCACAAGTCAGGAGTGTGATGGAATACTCCTACTTGCCTGGATGGGTGCAGCTTCAACAGCATTCTAGAAGCTTGACACCATCCAGGACAAAGCAACCCACTTGATTGGCACCACATTCATTCCTTCCACCATCAATATTCAGTATAAGCTACATGTACAATCTATAAAATGTACTGGAGAAATTCACTGAGGCTTTTTAGACAGCACATTCCAAATCCACATTCCAGTAGCATCTAGAAGGGCAAGGGCAGCAGATACATGGGAATGCCACCCTGTACAAGTTCCCCTCCAAGCTGCTCCCCATCCTGACTTGGAAATGTATTGCCGTTCCTTCACTGTTGTTGGTTCCAAATCCTGGATCCCCCCTCCCTAGCATCATTGTGGTACTACCTACAGTATGTGGACTGCACCGGTTCAAGAAGGCAGCTCAGTGCCACCTTCTCAAGGGCAATTGAGGATGACCAATAAATGCTGACCCAACTGGCACTACCCTTCGCCATGAGTGAATTTGGAAATTCTTGTTTTATCTTACAAAGCCCTTTTGTAACGAATGAAATACTTTTGAAGTAAAGTCGATGCTGTAATGTTGGAGCCGGGGCTAATTTCCGCGCAGCAAGACTCTCCAATTGCAATGGGATCGTTACCTGTTGGGTATCGGGTGATACCTAAGTGCTGTCCAGTTCATAGACAATAATGTTCCTGTTGACTCTGCAGATACTGGCTGCAGCCTGGAGGTTTCTGTGAAGGTTTGGTTCTGAGTGTACATGGACATGCAGTGCCATTCAAAAGAACCAATGTTTTTGAGGGGGATCAAGTTCATAATGAACTTCTGCTATCTTTTTTTTTCTGGAAGGAATATTACTGTGGTGGCTCACCCTTGCTCTTCAGAACTGGGTCATAGGATGTTTTGCATGCACCTGAAAGCTAAAATGGGATATCAGTTTACAGTTTGAAAGATGTCACCATTTTTTTATAGCATGCAGAACTGCATTGTCTGGTTGGAATTTGTATTTTGTTTTTCTGAAGTGACCTGAACCCACAACCTTTCTGACACTGGACAGGTGAGCTAGGAATGTCTTCCTTAACAAGCATAGCAGTTACAGTTCAAGTGCCAGTGTGAGGAGGGTTCCTGATAGCTGGGCTTGGAATTGAGAAAGCGGGTATCCCAGCAAAAACTACAATGAAACTTTAATGCAAACAGGGCTGTGAAAGTCTCCAATGGCATGAATTGGTTTTGGTTGGTTTTTTTTAGCAGAAACAAATGAGGAATTGTTGCTTATTGGACTTGTTCGAGGGTCATATGCAATACTGTTCAGTGTAAGTTACAGTACGATGGATACAAAGGTTAACGTGTTGGGAAAGAGGAAAAATGTATAATCACTTTGAAGTGTGCTCCAGAAGGATCCTAAAGGAATATATAAAAAATTCTCTCCAGGGTAGGGAAGTCCAAAACTAGAAGGCCTAGGCTTAAGGGGAGAGGGGTAAGATTTAAAAGGGACTGAAGGGGCAACTTTTTCATGCAGAGGGTGGTGTATGTATTGAATGAGCTGCGAGAGGAAGTAGTGGAGGCTGGTATGACATTTAAAAGGCATCTGGATGGGTACATGAACAGGATGGGTTTAGAATGATAGGGGCCAAATTCTGGCAAATGGGATTGGATTAATTGAGGACCTCTCGTCAGCATGGACGAGTTGGACCAAAGGGTCTGTTTCCGTGCTGTACAACTTTGACTCTATAACAAATAAACAAGTATTGTCTGAGGCCAGGAGAGCAAGAGGTCTTAAGAAGACAATGAATTTCTTTGAACATGTTTTCTGTGCCAGAGGTTTGGAATCTAATCTACCTAACCTGCATATTTCCAGCATTTTCTGTTTATATTCAACATTAACTGTTGTTCTGGCTTCTAACCTTGATCTGATTCTGTGCCAATAGCTAGCTGACAACTTTAGTTCCTGGGTGGAAATGAAACCGTAATTTGCTACTTCAGTGGTAATTCAATTCTTTTTATTTCTCTTTTAACAAATTGAATAGTTTTTTTGTTATAAGATGAAGACAACCTGACAAAGTTCTGACTTGTAAGAGGGAAAACTAGATTGCAGTCTTTATGCAAATCAGGTAGGAAATGTAACTAATACAACTATTCTGGATTTGGTGGTGTGTAACTTGGCCAACTTGATTAGGATTAAGGTAAAGGAATTTTTAGGGGACAGTGATCATAATATGAACAATAGAATTCACACTGCAGTTTGAGGGAGAAGCTGGAATCAGATGCAACACTATTACAACTGAGTAAATGTAAAGATAAAGACAAGAGGGAGGAGCTGGGCAGATTTGATTGGAAGGGGAGCCTAGCAAGAAAGATAGTGGAGCAGCAATGGCAGGGGTTTCTGGGAGTAATTCAGAAGGCGCAACAGAAATACATCACAAGGAATAAGAAACATACCAAGGGGAAGACAAAGCAACCATGGCAACTCCGACAGCACAAAAGCG